GGTGTCTGTTGTGGGGAGGGGAAGGGAAAGCAGTTTGTAAGCCGCTCTGAGGCTCCAAGTGAAGGGTGGGGTATAAATCCAATCTCTTCTTCTTCTCGGCACAACTTGGATAGCCCAGGCTAACCAGATCTCATCAGGTCTCAGAAGCTAAGCAGGGTCCACTTTGGTCTGTACTTGGTCGGGAGACCACCAAGGAGAATGTCTCGTACCTTGAAAACCCTATGGGTTCACCAGAAATTGGCTGCCACCAGTGTTCCCCCTAAGCTGAGTTAATGTGAACTAACTCACAGTTTTTTTAGCTTCCGGCTCGCACATTTTTGCCTCCGCTCAGGAAGGATGGCCCCAGAGCAAACTAATCTATGCCGCAGCCAAATCGCTCGCTCACAGCTTTAATGCCAGTGCCAGGAGCTCACCAAGTAGAATTTTGGCTCACAGGACTCCGCAGCTTAGAGGGAGCGTCGGCTGCAACTTGACAGCAATAAATATACACAACACAAATTGGATGCCGCGGCTCTGGGATCTTCTGCACAGAGCCGCTCATGCGTCATCGCTGTAACATCAACACTCTTGGCAGGCCAAACAGAAGTCGATGCAAAACCCAGGGGCCCACCGCGGATTAGACATTCACCGAGCACCACCACCCCGGCCTCCAACCAACGTAGCACCATCCCTGCCCCTTGTCCCCAAAGCAATTGGCACACGCATCCCTCTGCTCCAGCTTCAGGTGTGCAAGACTCACTGAAAAGTGTTTCTGTGCACACACACCCCACCCTCCCAATATCCCAGAAAGAAGGATTTCATTAGCACCTTCCCTCGCACTCTTTCTCCAGCGTTTCCGCGTTAGACACATCGCACAAGATGTCACAACAAGCCTTTAGTGTCAATTGCGGGGGGGGGGCATGTGTCGGAAATAAAAATAGAGACCCGGCTTGATTTCTGGCCAACTAACATGATGCCCCCTTTTGTGCAACCCCCACCTGAGCTGATTTCTCTTTTTTTAAAAAGAAGAAGAAGAAGAAGAGCAAGGAACAAGAGAAGTGTGAAGTATCGGGACCAATATTCCCTCTAAGCGGTGGAGTCTTGTGAGCAGAAATTCAACTCGGTGAACTGCCGGCATTCAAATTGTGAGCAAGTGATTTGGCTGCTGCATACATCAGTCTGCTCTGGAGCCCTCCTTCCTGAGCGGAGGCAAAAATGGGTGAGCGGGAGGCTAAAAAACTATGAGCTAGCTCACACTTACTCAGCTTAGAGGGAACACTGATCAAAACCACTTAGAAAAACAAAAGCAGAAAAGGGCAACTCGAATGATAAAGGGGTTGGAACACTTTCCCTATGAGGAAAGGTTAACGCGCTTGGGGCTCTTTAGCTTGGAGAAACGACAACTGAGGGGTGACATGATTGAGGTTTATAAGAGTATGCATGGGATAGAGCAGGTGGAGAAAGAGGTTTCTCACAATACAAGAAGAATACAAGAGAAAGAGGTTTCTCACAATACAAGTTTCTCACAATACAAGAACTCGTGGGCACTCCATGAAACTGCTGAGCGGTCGGGTTAGAACGGATAAAAGGAAGTCCTTCTTCACCCAAAGAGTGATTGACACGTGGAATTCACTGCCACAGGAAGTGGTGACGGCTACAAGCATGGACGGCTTCAAGAGGGAATTGGATAAGCATATGGAGCAGAGGTCCATCAGTGGCTATGAGCCACAAGGTATAGATAGGGGCTCTGGGGCAAGGGATGCTCTGTCTTCTTGGTGCTTCGGGGGGCAGCAACAGTGGGAGAGCTTCTAGTGTCCTGGCCCCACTTGCTGGACCTCCTGATGGCACCTGGTATTTCTGGCCACTGTGTGATACAGAGTGTTGGGCTGGATGGCCTGATCCAACATTAGCGTCTCTTATGTTCTTATGTTCTTAAAATCAGAGAATGGGGGAGTGTGTAGAGAACCCAGACTAATCCAGTGGAAACCTCTCCCACCAACCCAACCGTTGAACACAACTGAGCTCTCAGATTAAGACAAAGCAGCGTTCCCCCCACCCCGAAGAAGCTATGGATCCCTTGAGCTTTACATTTCTGTTTGCCACACCGTTCTTCTTAAAAGATCTAGAGAAGCCATTCCTGATTTCCCTTCTGAAAGAAAGCCTGATTCAGATTTCTTTCTCTTTTTTTGGGCCCAGGCTGGCTCGATGTCGTCAGATCTCGGAATCTAAGCAGGGCTGGTCCCGGTTAGGACTCGGATGGGAGACCAGCAAGGAAGTCCAGGGTCTCAATGCAGAGGCAGGTGATGACAAACCATCTTTTGCCTTGACAACTCCATGTAAAGGGAAAGGTCTCCCTTGCTCGAAAGCCAGCCGAATCTGACTCTAGGGGGCGGTGCTCATTGTTTCCAAGCCGAAGAGCCGGTGCTGTCCGAAGACATTTCCGGGGTCATGTGGCCAGCATGACTAAACGCCAAGGCGCACGGAACGCTGTTACCTTCCCACCAAAGCTGTACCTATTTATCCACTTGCAATTTAACATAAGAACATAAGAGAAGCCCGTGTCGGATCAGGCCAATGGCCCATCCAGTCCAACCCTCTGTCACCCAGTGGCCAAAAATACCAACGGCCACCAGGAGGTCCAGCAGTGGGGCCGGGACACTAGACGCCTTCCCAGTGTTGCCCCCCCAAGCACCAAGAGTACAGACCACCCCTTTCTCCAGACTGAGAGTTCCTACCTATACCTTGTGGCTAATAGCCACTGATGGACCTGTGCTCCATATGCTTATCTAATTTCTTGCTTTCGAACTACTAAGTTAGCAGGAGCTGGGGCCAGAGACTGGAGCTCACTCCGTCACGCGGCACTCGGGTCTCGAACTGCCGAGCTACAGACCTGCGGCTCAGCGTCTTAACCTCTGAGGTCACCACAATTCAGTAGTGACAAGCTACCTGGTCCTTTTTAACTGGAGATGCCAGGGGTTGAGCCTGGGACCTTCCGTATGCCAAGCAGAGGCTCTGCCAATGAGTCACATCCCCTCTCTGGCCCTGCTGTATAAAACCTGTGGTCCATCTAATCCAGCAATCCTGCCTCATACTCCTGTGTCTGGAGGCTGAGGCCTTCCCCTGACATTACCTTCTGGCTCTGGTATTCAGAGGTTTCAATGAAATTGCTGAGCAGTCGCATTAG